GAGCAAAAAAAAAAAAAAAAAAAAATCAACTACGCTAGGGACGTGAAAGCAGCCGGATGCAGATTCTGGGGCACATGTGAGAGTATGCACCTCCAAGGGGCGTTACAGCACTTCTGAAATCACGGCAGCAGGAACAAACAAAAGAAAAAAAGCAAAAATTCAGCAGCAACTCTTTGGACGTGAAAGCAGCTAGATACAGAATCTGGAGTACCTGTGACAGTATGCACTCCCAACCGCCATTGCAGCCCTGCTGTAATCAGGACAGCAGAAAAAAAAGAAAGAAAAAGAAAACAAAAAAGCAACAACACTTTGGACGTGAAAGCAGCTGGATACAGAATCTGCAATACGAGTGAGAATGTGGCCCCCGTTGCAAAGTGTCAGCTGCCCGTGGAACTTGAATGCGCCTTGCCTCTCGTTGGCAGGGCACTAAACGCGGATCACCAAAAAAAGAAAGCAAAACACATACAAAAAACGAAACTGGCTATGTTTCTGGGTAGATGCGTTCCTTTGAGTTCTGATGTGAGCACATCTCCTTCACGGTCTTCCCCGACGTCCTTCCTTTCTTTCTTTTCTTCTCTTTTTTCTTTTTTTTTGGTAATGGGAAATACAACTGATGCCGAGCTTGTGGTACCTCTGAACTCTTCGGGGAAAATGGGAAAACGTCCACTTTTCCCTAATTTCCCCACACTGGCGGAGGTACTAGTGCTAAAAAAAAAAAAAAAAAAAAAAAAAAGAGGACGCATCATTATCGCTGTAACTACAGTAGCCTGAAAGTTGCTCCAAATACAGCTACAATTACTGTTATTTTATTTTATTTTTATTTTTAATTTTTTTTAATTTTTTTAATTTAAAGAATCCGGCCTTAGTTGCTAGTGATGGTGATATTAGCATCCACCACTAGCAACTCGGCTACTGGCTCCATTCTATTGGTGGGGAGCTGCACCTGCTGGGGGAAGACGATGGTGACGGCCTAGATGGGTTATCCATCCAATTCCAGTGAGGCTGAGAGCCGTGCGAGGCTCCTGCTGATGTTGATGTCATTTGAACTTATTTCGATGTTGTATGCTGCTGCAGCTGCTGACGACGGCGCTGATAACGACATCATTGTTGTTCACCCTGATGATTGCTGTTTATTATATTGGGCAGGTGATCCGTCTGAAGGGAAACGGACCGCCATGACTTCGTGAAACAGGAAACGTTGCTTCGGACGTGATGCGGCCGAAAGACGTAGCATCACCAGCTGCGCAGTGCCACTCGTTAGGCAGTTCTGTCGTGCTGTGTTCCCTGTTGTTGACAGGGCAGCAGCTTTGCAGGTCCATGCCTGCTCCCTGTTGCTCAGGAAGCTTTGTGGCACCCCTACCCCCTGCTAGGACAAGGTAAGAAGATCACTCATCCCCTTTCTACTATATCTTCTTGATAAAAATATGACTGAGTATCTTGACCTTTTCTCTCTTAAGCTTCCCCTCCCTCCTAAATAACTGTAGTTAGTTAGGTTGTGAAGATTGGGCATTTCGCTCCATGCTCCTCAGCTTCCCTCTGTGACCAAGGAACAGTACTGTTTTTTTCTTCTTCTTTTCCTGATAAGCATTCAATCAGAGCTCCAAACAAACCAACAAAGAGAATGATGCCACGTTTGTGAGAATCAGCCAATGTTGGCCATCAACTTTTTGAACGAAGTTAATCTCAGTTCCTTGCTTCATCTTCAAACTTTTTTCTTGAGGTCTTGAGGTCTTGAGGTCTTGAGACCTTGTTGTTGTTGTTGTTGTCGTTGTCGTTTTCGTTTTCGTTTTCGTTTTCGTTTTCGTTTTTGTTTTCGTTTTCGTTTTCGTTTTCGTTTCTGTTTTTGTTTTTGTTTTTGTTTTTGTTTTTGTTTTTGTTCTTGTTTTTGTTTTTGTTTTTATTTCTGTTTTTGTTTTTGTTTTTGTTTTTGTTTTTGTTTTTGTTTTTGTTTTTGTCACAGAACAATTAGGAATACCAGGGCCGTTACCATGTCATTGTTGCAGCGGTTTTTGTTTTTGTTTTCGTTTTTGTTTTTGTTTTTGTTTTTGTTTTTGTTTTTGTTTTTGTTTTTGTTGTTGTTGTCGTTGTTGTTGTTGTCGTTGTTGTTGTTGTCGTTGTTGTTGTTGTTGTTGTTGTTGTTGTTGTTGTTGTTGTTGTTGTTGCTGTTGTTGAATTTGGAATACCGGGGCCATTACCCGGCTTTGGACAAGAAGACCAGGTAGATTCGTGAACAACTGCTGAAATTTGAAAGTCTTCTGAACGATCAGGAAATTCCACAGAAATTCGACAGGAGATACTGTAACAATGTCATGCTGAAAAGCTCACAAAAAATGGGGGGAATGGTGGAACTACCCAACCTTCACCCACTCCCTCCACAACAAAAGGGAAAGGGAGGGGAAACCAACCTCTCTTGCCGTGGGAAGTAGGCGAACCACTTGCCACTATCTGCCTCCGCCAAGGGTTAATAACTTAATACGCTCCGTCAACCCCAGCCTCGGAAAAATAGAGCAATCCTCAATCACTGCCCTTACCTCCCCAAATGCAGCACTTCCCCCCAAGATGCTACCTCCGCAGGAAGGCGCCCCCACCATCCCGGCAGATTAAAAAAAACAAAAAAACTCCAGGATAAAGAAAGAGGCTTCACAGCACCCCCCCTGAAAACCCCCCCTCCCCCCCCCCCCCCCCCCCCCACCCCCCGAAGAAAAACTTCCCCTCTGTCCATGAAATACCCCTGCTAAGAGGAGCCACTCTTTTCCTCATTGACCCGAGTTCAGGATGGGCCCCCTAATCGGTCACCCCCGCTCCCTCAACTTGAAAGGCATACAGTCCCCCGTAAAGTATGCGCCTGCAGAACAGCGGTTCCCCCCCATTCCCTCCATCCCTCCCCCTCCGGGTGGGACAGCCCACTTAGCACCACTCCCCGCTAAAACAGCACCCCTTGTCTCTATCTGGCCCCGCTGGGGTTGATCCGTTTCCAGGGCAACCCGTACAGCTCAAAACCCCTTGTCAGAAAGCGCACATGGGAAGCACTGGGCAGCGGCCACTTGCAGACTGAACCAAACACCTTATGAAATGACTGATCGTGAATACGACAAAAAGCTGAGCAAGCACTAGGACAGTTCGAGATCACCCCTCCCTCTCCTCGTCACCCTCCTCGTAGAGAAGAAAAGGACCCTCTGGCGCTGCACTCTCCCTGCCAGAGGGAGCCACTTCCCCCACCTCGGCCTCAGCGCAGGACAGTCTCACACTCTACCCCTACTCCCTCCCTCAGGGGCATACAGTCCCCTCCTACAAAAGTACGCCCCTGCCCAACCCATGACCACTATCTGCCTCCACTGGGGTTGAAACCGACCCCGCATACCAACCCCAGCCCCAGAATCCAGCAACCCCCAAAATCTGCCCCTACCCCCTCCAGGACTTCGCCCCTCCCACCAATGCATGTGAAGCCCCTGCAGTATAGTGCTCCCCACCTCAAATCTCCAGATCAACCCTGGAGGGTTGTTGTTCTTGTTTGTTGCTGAAAGCGTTGTTGACTTCAGGGCATATTCTTACTTAGTGTTTTGAACTGTTTTCACATCTAGTGGCATAAGTGGCTAGCGGCGAAGCATAAGATGAACCAGAAACTCAAAAAATAATAACAAGCTTGAGGCCCGTGGCCAAAGTGACTAGCGGCCTCAGGCATGTCGGTGTCCGCTGAGTATCAAGTTTGTTATGGAATGGGCCGCACACATTTGGCTTTGCAATTACGTCGTGCATGAGGTGTCCTGCTGCTGTATACTCGTGCGCAACAGAGAGAGAGAGAGAGAGAGAGAGAGAGAGAGAGAGAGAGAGAGAGAGAGAGAGAGAGAGAGAGAGAGAGAGAGAGAGAGAGAGAGAG